GTCAGCGCGTTCCATCCAGTTTCCCCACCCCTGAAATCTCTGAGGATCACAGAACAGCCTTGGCATGGGAGCCCTGGGTCTTAAAGAGATAAAATTGCAGCTCAGAAGCACCTTAAGATCCTTTTGTGCCAGTATCCCTAACCAACAGATCTCAAGGTTACTGGGTATCCTCACCCGCCACTTAACTGTGTCAGGAAGGTCAGCAGGAAGGGAGTTCCTTCCTCCCTCTGCCAAGTTCCAGCATCAGGGAGACAGCATGATTAAAATGTAGGTTTTGGAGTTGGGCAAACCTAGGATCAAAAACCTGGTTCTGTCTAGCTGTGTGATCTGGGGTATGCTAACTAAACCAGTCCGCGCCTCGGGTCCTCCCCAGAAATGGAAAAACAAAACCAACTATTGTTGCGAGGATGTAAGTGATGATATAAGCAAAGGCGTAGAATAATTCCTCGGTATATACAGTTCACTTCGTTGCTGTTATAATGTATCAACTTCCCATCAAGTTTTTTTTTCAAAAATATTCTTCCCCCCACCCCACAAAAAAATTTTTTTTTAATAATAATAAAGAAAAGAAAAAGGTAGGGGGAATCAGAACTGTTCCAGAAATGGCAGGGGAATGAAAGAGCCTGAAACAGTCTTCATCTTCCAAACGGGGGCCAAACATGACCTCTTAGTTTCTCAGCCTTGCTTTCCAGTCTTCAGGGGCTGCAAACCACCTCACGTCCAATCTAGTCTGATACAGTGCAGTAAGTGGATTGCAAACAAACCTGGTCATCGGAAGATACCCTGACCAAGCCCAAGCAATAAACCGCGTTTGTAAAAATTACTTGCAGTGAGTCATTACCACGTTTAAGACACGGAGGTAGTTTCTGCAGAGGGCAGGCTAGCATAGCAGCGAAGGAGGTGGACTGAGCTGTCGGACCGCTGGACTCTAACCCCAGCCTTGGCATCTGCTACTCATGTGCCTGTGACAGCATATTTAACTTTCATAAGTCTTGCTTTCCTTATCTGTAAAATGGGCATAATAATGCCCCATAAGCTCGTTGTGAGGACTGAATGCATGAAAAGCATGTAGCGAATGCAGGACACAGAGAAAGTGCTTAATCTTGTCAGCACTTGTAGTCATTGCTGTTTGATGAATGAGGCCAGGGACTGTGTCATATATTCATCCCTGTATCCCCAGATCCTCAAACAAAGGCTGGCATTTAGTAGAGTACAGTAATGTTTGACGAAAGCATGAATGCAAGGCCCCTGCCCTCAAGAAGTTAAATCTACCCAGGAAATAGAACACATAAACTACCTACGGCACTCAGGCGCTGGAGACAGCAGAGGGTTAAAAGCCATTCTGCCAGTCCCGAAGCCCCAGAGGCAGACAGTCCCTTGGATCCCTGTTTCATCTATCCAGGATGCTTTCAAGAGAGGAAAACAGGAAGTATCCCTGATAGCCCAGCTTGCTCTGTTTTTTTTTTTTTT